GTAAGGAATTTTCTCGGCATTCCTTACGGAGCCCGACTACATCGCGTATAGCAACAGCCGTTGTTCGCCCGTTACTGCTAACGGGACTTCGCCAACTTCGCGCGCGCTGTTTTGCCAAACCTCGCACTGCTGGCCCGGCCGTGTCGGCCTACGCTTCGGGACTAGCCCGAACCTCGCTGCCAGCGTAGCACTAGCTAGCTCGCACGCACCGCGTTACCGTTTGCATGTTCACATATAAATGTTTGCTCATGCCTTCGCTGTCTTTGTACTCATTTTTGACACCTTAGTGCAATTCTCGCTACTTAGATTCATTGCACCCGTAACAAGTTCTTTAGACATCGTTGTTATCAAAATCGCAGCTCTTCCTCGAGGCCCCTTCTAGAATGCTTGGAGGGAGGGATGCTGTGTCAGTGGAGCTCCAGAGGCTCCAGAATCCGCTTCGGCCTGGGCGGCTCGTACAAAGCCGAGGCTGTTGCACTTTCCGTACCTCCAGGTAGGCTTCGGCCAGATCTGGCCTGGGCCAGTGGCCTGAAACAATAGGTTTCCCTGTCGCTTGTTCCGAAGCCAAATGTGTGCGTGGGTTGTGGTGAACCAAGGTTTTGTGGTACGGGTTGCCCCAAAAGAATTGTTCGCGAACGTGTGTCCGATTAGGTTCGGAAGGTTGCTTGCTTTGCCCCAACCTCGTCGACGGATAACCAGCCACAAACATTCCACCCACCAGGCAGCCACCACCACCAGCCGTACACCCATTTATTCGTTTGATGCACCCGCGATTGTGCTACCTGGTCGGTACGTTCACATAGAAGTTGGGAGCGATGCGTTTATGTCACATAGAATCGATTCACACGCGTGATCAGTTCAGCATTGAATTGCTAAACGTTGAAAATAAATTGGTGGCAGAGCACTACAGCTGCACGCATTTGCGCTAAAGACGAGGCCAAATTTATTAGTTATGATTAGGTCAGGCCGGCCTACAGATGCAAAGACGTATTTATAGCCACATTTCGGGAGCAAGGGACGGCAATACGCAGGGAAATGTGACTCGCAGACGTTAAAAGCACCGGGCAAAATAGACAAGCACCTCCGACTGAAACGCGTTTGGTGAGATAAACGAAGAATTGGGTGTAGCCCCAAGTCAGCACTTGACCTACCAAGAGGTATGTCAGACCAAACGTCACGTTTTCTCCCCGCCCCGCCTGCACAGAAGCCCGAAAATCGTTAGATGGGGACGGGTAGCCGGTAGCGTTGCAGGTGCACGGGCACAAGCCACGGAGATTGGCGGTTCATCATCTCCATCCCACCCTTCTCGATCTTGTGACTTCGATTTTGACGATCAAAACCTTTACCGCATATGAAAGCAGGAAATCGTCCTTCACCTTAGTTAACCTCCCTTTTTCAACTCACGTGACTCTCTCACGTACCACCCACAGACGTACAGTAAGGACGCGGCACCTGTTTTCATTTTGCCAGGATCGATCGTGGGAGGGGATCGATGTGCCGCTTGTACAGTGTATTGGCGACATCGCTAATGCCTGGTATCCTTTTTTCGCTGAACTTCGAGAAGGTACAGTAAACGGGTACCCAAATTGGTGGCACCTGCAGCTCGCACGATCGATGTGCCGTGGTGCATGCGTTAGGATTGGCGGGAGAGCATATCGCGCCACAGGTGACAGCCTCGATCGATCGGCGTCGCCCACGGTCGCAGGCAAGAAATTCTTGAGTCGCTGCGAATGGAATTGCTGGACGACCATCCACGCTCTGCCCTGATTGGCTACGCGTTTAAGTGCAATGGCAGCTCCAACCTGCCCGAGCCTGCAATTTCGATCCTGGCACCTATAGCTCGATGTGTCTACCCCACTGCAAATTTGCAGTGTGGGCACATTGGTGTGCCGATCGATATGCCAGGATCGATGTGAGGCCGCGATCCTTGTAAAATGAAAACAGGTGCCGCGTCCTAAGTACATCAACCCCTCCCAACCAAGCCGAAGGCATAGCAGTCTCTGCGGTTGTGTTGGCGTTGATTTGGGGACGGCCAGCTCGGAGGGTGAACTCGCACGATGCTCAGCTGTGCAGTGCAGAGTAGTGCCCTAGTATCGCCATAGTTGATGACTTGGAAAGGTCATGGCACTCTAGTCCGTCGCGGTCAACTTTTCACAGAATTTGGTTAGACTGCAAGCAAAGCTTTACCACTGGAGTTGTTGTTTGATCAGGATATTTGGATCAGGAGCATACAGAAAGCAGTACAGAAAGCAGTAGCAGTAGCAGTAGCAGCAGCACATGGCAGCAGCGTCGAACTCAGTAGGATGCTGACCCCTGCTGGTTACAGGTTTAGTCCCGGCCTGCCTTGCTTAAGCTCGTCTCACAAGCGGCCAAGACCAAGAGCTGTCAAATGGAATCACCTACAAGCTTGTTCCCTTCTTCTATCCTTAGCAATCATAGCCGTCCATCCCGCCAGAATTCCAGGAACGTCATCGGGCTTACTCACTTCTCAGTCGCATTCGGAGCGGATTTTAGCTAATACTGGGACGAGTCTGCCTTCTCAAGCAGGCAAGTGGCAGCGTGTGCTTGATGCTTAGTTATGGAATCGTTTATTTACGCTGGAAGTCCGTAAGTTCTTCGAATTCATGCGGTCGGTGAAGACCAAATCTACTCCATTGCTCTTCCTCGTTCGCATACTGAAGCTGAAGCGGTCTACTGAGGATAGAAACGTGCCGCAGTTTATTACTGTTACTTTCGTTTAGGGTTGCTTAGGTAGAAGCTCGTGCGGAGCTGTATCAAAGCGGAATTTCGTGAGTTTAGGGTTGCCACTCACTTCGTTAATCTACTGCAACCGCTCGCCAGTTGCTGTCTCCAGGGTGGTGTTTTACAGACATTAGGGTTCGGCTTGCTGCAGGTCGCGTTGTTCTGGCAGTGTTAGATAGGTGCTACTGCCGCCTAATCGGGACCGCTGCTTAGCTGTCGTGTAGATTCCTGCTGTTTGGTCAGGCTGCTAGTAATCACTTGTTCTGGAGCGGAGTTTTTTTACTCGACTAAAAGAATCGCTGCTTTGCCAGGCCGCTGGTAGTCACTTGTTCCGGAGCGAAGTATGGCTACGGCCCGGCTCTGTAGGAGTACTGAGGAGAGTTTAGCGTGTTCTACCGCACTAAGAGGGGCTTGTGGTGACGACAATGTCGCAGTGGAGAAGCTGTTACGGCGAATACACTGTAGTCCGCGAAGTCTGCGGAGTTTGCGAAGTTGGCGACGGGTGTGCAATGGTTCTGCTCAGAGTCGGCATTGTTTAGCTTCGAACAAGGCAGTGCTATTTGGTTTACTGAGACTCTTGTCGACCGTGTATATGGCAGTTTCTTGCGACCATACAAGCGTTCTGAGGCGCCTCAAGCTCGAGAAACGACCGTGTACCGGATTAGGGTTACGATGTCTCGCAGTTGCTTGCGACCATACCCCCACTTTCGAGGCAATTCAAGAAGCGAGGGTGTCTGCGTATTGAATTAGGGTTTCGATGTACAGCAGTTGTTTGGGACCATACAACCATTTTCCAGGCGCCTCAAGAAGCGAGGGTGTCCGTATACCGAATTAGGGTTTCGATGTCCAGCAGGTGCTTGCGACCATATAGCTATAGCCTGACCATGTACCCGTTTTAAGGTTTCGATGCTTCGCAGTTGCGAGTGGTGGACGGTTAGGCGAGCATTGGCTGCTAGGCGAAAATTGGGCGGCCAGTGGTCAGCTAGGCGAACAGTGGACGGCTTAGCGAAAACCTGGCAGCTAGACGAGCATCGGACGGTCTGGCGAGTTACCGAAGGCCCTGAGCCACAATGAGGCAAAACGATTGTGAGCTTGTGCGAGCGTGTAGCATACCCGTAACCCATGTATGGGGTGGATTACAGTACAGTAAAGTACAGTACAGTACAGTACAGTACAGAACAGCGCATGTTACAGTGCACTGGTCTTATTGACGCGTGCTACTACGCCCTTGTGTTCCCGCGTCCCTCTCGTTCTGCAGGCTTCGTTAGTATCAACTGCGGATACACGGGTCCCCCGTTTGTGGACAAACTCACTGGAATAAGGTGGCAGCCGGATCAATACTACAGCACAGGAGTACCCGGCACTGCCCCCCCTCCCAAGGGCAAGCAATGGGGGCCGTATGACGCGGACGCGACCATGCGAGTCTTTACAGAGTACCCCGTTAACTGTTATAACATCCCGGTGGCCAAGCCTGGGAGGTATTTGCTGCGGCTGGTGATGTACTATGGGAACTATGACAAGGCCAAGAGCCCGCCCGCGTTCAACGTCTCCTTTGGGATCTCGTTCGCGTGAGTGTGTGATGGTGCTGCTGTGCTCTTTGTTTGCCGAGATTTTGATTCTGCTCTGGCTTTGCTTCACGCCGTGAATTGCGGTGCGTCGTTGCCTGGCCCCACCCCACCCTCTGCTCATTCATGCGGTACATGCTTCGACTGGTTTAAGATGGTTGGAACTGGCTGGACTGCTATGTGCTGTGTGTGTGCTATGTGCTGTGTTCAGGGCGACGGTGGTGCTGACTCTGAAGGAGAGGGTGGTCTCAGAGATCATTGGTCAAGTGGACTCAACAGAGCTCGAGGTATGTGGACGGAAGGAATGAGTTAGGAGGAAATAGGGCTCGTGGCGGTTGAAGGTAACAGAAGGTACCAGTGGGTAGCAGACGGTAACAGAAGCTAACAGCAGGTAACAGAAGGCATTAGCGGTGGTACTAGCTTTGTGGAATATTTTTTGGCTTCAACCAAAAGTAGGCGTGAGGGAAGTTTTCGTTTCGAGGCAAACCGGTTTTGGTTTCTGCTCGAACCGAACCGGTCCTGTGGTTGACTCAAGAGCATCCTTGGTGGGCACTCAGCCACCGTTCTTTCCTTTCGGAATACCCCCTCCCCCACCCACCTCCATCTCATCCCAACCCCCCCACCCCACACCCCCGTCGTCTCTATCCCCCCCCCCCCCCCCCCCCCCCCCCCCCCCCGCCTCCTTCCCTGCAGGTGTGCTTCGTGAGCATCTATGGCAAGCCTCTGGTGAACGCGCTGGAGCTGAGGCCGCTGCCCGCAGCGACTCCCTCAGTCACCTCTCTATTCTTTCTGACCTTCCCTCCCCCCTCTCCCCAGGTGTGCTTCGTGAGCATCTACGGCAAGCCACTGGTGAGCGCGCTGGAGCTGAGGCCATTATCAGCAAGGAGACTGAGTCAACTGTACTTCCCCCACCCGCCCCCCCCCTCCCCTCTCCCTCTCCCCCCCCCGCTCCCCCACTCCCCAGGTGTGCTTCGTGAGCATCTACGGCAAGCCGCTGGTGAACGCGTTGGAGCTGAGGGCCCCCCCAACGTCTCCCTCAGTCACGTCCCTTACCTTTCTGACCTTCCCTCCCCCCTCTCCCCAGGTGTGCTTCGTGAGCATCTACGGCAAGCCGCTGGTGAACGCGCTGGAGCTGAGGCCGCTGCCCCCGGCGTCATACGTGTCGCTGCCCGACCCCTCCGGAGTCATGCTGCTCTGGTGGCGCCTCTTCAGTGCCAACGACTCGCTCACCAACCGCATGCTGCGGTGAGTGAAGCCATTCTGTGCGGTGCTGTGTGGTGTGGTGCGGTGCGGTGCGGTGCTGTGCTGTGCTGTGCTGTGCTGTGCGCATTAACTTATCTGGTGGCGCATCTTCTGCGCCAACGACTCGCGCACCAACCGCATGCTGCGGTGAGTTAAGAAGCTGGCATTTACTACCACATCTGCTGTGCTGTGCTGTGCGGTGCGGTGCTGTGTGGTGCTGTGCTGTGCTGTGCTGTGCTGTGCTGTGCTGTGCTGTGCGGTGCTGTGCGGTGCTGTGCTGTGCGGTGCTGTGCTGTGCTGCCTTCTCTCCCTAGTGCATGTATGGTCGCTTAAGCCATGTGCCTCCTCTATGTTGCTCTTATCCTCATAATGCCTATATACACCTTTCCACCCCTCAATCGCTCCACCCCTTTGTCCCTTCATCCCTCCATCTCTTTCCACCCCTGCTGCTACCCCTACGACCCCTTGGAATGCATTTGGGATGCAGACGGTGTGATGGCCACCAGTGGGGGCGCCGCCTCATGTTTGACTGCCACCTCTCACCTATCCACCCCTCTCCTCCCTTCTTCACCCCTGCAGCTACCCCTACGACCCCTTGGATCGCATCTGGGATGCAGACGGTGTGATGGCAACAAGTGGGGGCGCTGCCTCGTCCACCCTCATACTCTCTCACCTCTCCACCCCTCTCCACCCCTCTCCATCCCTCTCCACCCCTCTCCACCCTCCCAGCTACCCGTACGACCCCTTGGATCGCATCTGGGATGCAGACGGTGTGATGGCCACCAGTGGGAGCGCGGCCTCGTCCACCCTCATGTTTGACTACTCTTTCTCACCTCTCCACCCCTCTCCCCCCTTGTCCACCCCTGCAGCTACCCCTACGACCCATTGGATCGCATCCGGGATGCAGATGGCGTGATGACCACCAGTGGGGGCGCTCCCTCCTCCACCCTCATGTTTGACTACTCTCTCACCCCTCCACCCGTCTCCACCCCTCTCCGCCTCTCTCCACCCCTTTCCACCCTTCCAGGTACGCCTACGACCCATTGGATCGCATCTAAGATGCAGACGGAGTGATGGCCACCAGTGGGGGCGCTGCCTCGTCCACCCTCATGTTCGACTACTCTCTTACCTCTCCACCCGTCTCCACCCCTCTCCACATCTCTCCACCCCTCCAGCTACCCCTACGACCCCTTAGATCGCATCTGGGATGCAGACGGTGTGATGGCCACCAGTGGGGGCGCTGCCTCGTCCACCCTCATGTTCGACTATTCTCTCGACTCCTACGTTTTTGGCACACCGATTAACGTTAAGCCGGCTATAGGGGCTAGAGCCGCGGCTGCAGCTACTTCTGCTGCGATTGGCACTGGGGATTCGGGCCGAACAGTGGTGGGGGAGAGTGCGTCAGTAGAAGCAGAGGAATCGGCGCAAGCGGCGGCAACAGCAGCAGCAGCAGCAGCAGCAGCAGCAGCAGCAGCAGCAGCAGGGACAGCAGGAGCAGCAGTGGTAGGCCAAGGGACAGCAGAAGCGCTAGCACCGGGAGAAGCAAGTTCAGCAGTGGTTGCAGCAGCATCAGAGCAAGCAATCACAGGGAACGGCACAACCAACGCTGCCCCTGCCTTTCTACAGCTCACAGCGCGCACAGTGCCACAGGCCCCCGGTGGCACCATGGACAGCAGCAGTGGCCTGGAATACCAGTTTCAATTCCTCGAGAGCCCTGCGAATTTCCAGCTGATTCTGTACTTTACGAACGTGGAGGGGCGGGTGAAGCGGGCGGGGGACATGGTGTTTGATATTGTGTTGAACGAGCAGGTGGTGGTTGGCAGATTTGATTTGTTTTTGCAGCTGCAAGGGGCGGGCAGGGCGGCACGGGTTGGGCCGAGTGGCGTGGGGGGAAGTGGTGTGAGTGGAAGTGGCGTTGGGGGAAGTGGTGTGAGTGGAAGTGGCGTGGTGGGAAGTGGTGCGAGTGGAAGTGGCGTGGTGGGAAGTGGTGCTGTTGAGGGTGGTGGCGATGTCACTGCTCATGCAGCTGCGATAGGCCTTGCTGCTGCTCCTGCCACTCCCCTTCCTTCTGCTGCTGCTGCAGCTCCGTCCACCCTTCCTAACCCTTCCGCCACAGCTCCTGCACCCGCTCCTCCTCCTTCTTCTGGGAGCAGCAGCAGTGTCAGCAGCAGCACTGATAGCAGCCTGTACGCGCAGCAGGTGGTGATGGTGGTGGTGAATTTTACGAGTGTGGATCTCTACATCCCCGCCATCCTGCTGCTCAGGCCCGTCGCTACCAGCCGCCTGCCGCCAGCCATCAGCGGCATCGAGATGTACGAGGTGTTCCCCGCTGCCAAGCCAACGCCCGCTGATGAAGGTGAGTCACGAGTCGACTTAGTGAGTGTATTCTTGAGTTGGCAGTTCACATTCGAGCTGACTCGCAACATGGCAATCAGTGGTGCTGCAGGGTGTTTTTGAGAATTCTCAAAAACATTCGAGCTGGCTCACAATATGGCAATCAGTGGTATGGAGATGTACGAGGTGTTCCCGATTCTCCCTCCGTCTCCTTCCCAATGCCTGCCTTGCGTGATTTCCGGTTATTGGGCAACGTGAGTCTCTGGCAGTGTGTTGTGGCAGATAGGGGGGCAGACCCCTGTAACTATATCAAGTGACCCACACGGCCTTTCTTCTCGGTTCCGTCATGCTCATCCCCTCCTATCTTCCATTCTTCCACCAATTGCCCTCCCTCTCCACTCCCCTGCTACCCTCCCCCCGTCTGCCTTCTCAGTCTCCGCCCTGCGCGAATTCCAAAGGCTGCTGGGGGCGCCAGCGTCTTTGGCCGGGTGGCAGGGGTCGGACCCCTGCAACCCCATCAAGTGGGCGGGCATTCAGTGCACTCAGGCGCAGGGGGACAGCGAGTCACACGTCAGCGGCATGTGAGTGGGGGGGCGGGGAGGTGGGATTGGAGGAGGAAAAGGGGGAAGGGTGGGAGAGAGAAAGGGATGGGAGCGCCAATGTCTCTGGCAGGGTGGCAGGGGTCGGACCCCTGCAACCCCATCAAGTGGGCGGGCATTCAGTGCATCCAGGCACAGGGGGGACAGGGCATTGCACGTCAGCGGTATGTGAGTGGGGGGGAGGGGAATAAGTTTTTGCAAAGGCAAATACAGTCTCCACGGCCCCATCTCCGCATTCCTTCCTCTCTCTGCTTTCTGCACCCACAGTCTCTCCTCTCCGTTCCCCCCCCGTTCCCCCCCACCAGCTACCTGGGCAACTACAGTCTCCACGGCCCCATCTCGCCAGCTCTGGCTAACGTCTCTCGCCTCCAACACCTGTGAGTGACCCACGCTTGCTTCTCAGGCAGGCTTGCCTCTCCCACTCTCTCTCGCCCTTCTCGGTCCCTTCGTTCTTGGACTCGAGTGTCATCCTTCCAACACCCACTTGCTTGTCTCTGCTACTTCTGCTGGTTGGTTCTGTCTGCTCCCCTCCGTCTCCCCCCCCCTTATCTCTTTTGTTTTGGCGGTGTTGCATAAAACTCCCCTCATCCTCCTCCTCCTCCCCAAGCTGGCTCAATAAGGGTGAGCTGGTGAACAAGATTCCTACCTTGAAGTGCCCGACTGTTTCCCCCCCTATCTCCCCTTTGTCACTTGACTGGCGCGTTTTCCCCCATGGCTCTCCAGCTGGGTGAATGACAACAACTTGGAGAACGAGATTCCCAGCTCCCTCGGCGATCTCGTGAGCGACTTTTTGAATTTTCTCAAACCCTCCACCCCCCAACCCCCACCCCCCCCCTCCTCCCCCCTTATACTCCCACCAGCTGGGTGAACGACAACAACCTGGAGAACGAGATTCCCAGCTCTCTTGGCGACCTGGGGGATCTCTCTACTCTGTGAGTGTTCTGTTCTGATTTTTGAGGCGCCTCAAAAGGACTCTGTGCGTGTTGTGTTCTGTACTGTTCTGCCAGTCATGTTGGAGTTGCTTCTGAGAATTCTCACAAGCGGGTCCCAGCTCCCTTAGTCTACGAGTGTTCTGTTCTGCCAGTTTATATTTTCTTGCACTCCCTCGCTCCCTCGTTCCGATGCTCCCTCACTCCCTCAGTCCGTTGCTCGCCTTTTCCCCCACTTTCTTGCTCCCTGATTCTCTTGCACCCTCACTCTGCCGCTGCCCCAATCCCTCGCTCCCTCTCTCTCCATTTCCAGCCACAGTTCGTCCCGTCCCCCTGCCAAAATCATTTTCGTCCCGCTCCTTTCCCTCACTTCCCTTCTCCTGCCCCTCGTTTAGTCTCCCTCTCTCGGACTTCTTCAACCTTCCTTCTCAGTCTGCGCCTTTGGTGCTTCGCGCAAACGTTAGGTTGTTTCTTTGCTAAAACCTTGTATGAAAGGTCTCGAAAGTTTTGCTAGGCGTGGAAGTAGACCTGGAAAGTAAGAGCTGCAGAGCAGAGCAACCAACTTGAGTGGTTGGTTGGTTCCTTAGTCGCTTTTCGAGGCACCTCAAAGATTGTCCCTTGGTCTCTGTCTTCGAGGCGCCTCAAAAATCGTCTTTAAGGTGCTTCAAAAATCGTATTCGAGGCGCCTAAAAAAATGGTTCCTTAGGCGCTTTTCGAGGCACCTCAAAGATCGTCCCTTGGTCTCTGTCGTTGTGGCGCCTAAAAAATCGTCTTCGAGGCGCCTAAAAAATCGTCTTTGAGGCGCCTAAAAGATCGGTTCCTTAGTCGCTTCTTGAGGCACCTCAAAGATTCTTCCTTGGTCTCTATCCAGCCTTATTCCCCTCTCTCCTTCGCCCGTTCCCCACAACCCCTTTTCTTTCCACCATTGCCTCTCATCTCCTTCTTCTCTCTCTTTCCCCCGCGGCGTGCAGTCTATTGCAGAACAACCATTTAACAGGGGGGGTGCCTCAGTCGCTCACCAACCTCACCAATCTGGTCCAGCTGTGAGTCGTTCCCACTTCTTTCTGCTGCCGCCCAGTCGCTCACCAATCTCACCAATCTATTCCAGCTGTGAGGTAACTGCTGTTTTCAGAGCAGACCCCGCACTGGCACCACCACGACGACGACCACCACCACCACCACCAGTGCACGTTGTGTTTGCAAGTCATTTGCACTGCACTCGTCCTTCTCTTGCTTTCTCTGCAGCCTGTCAGTCACCCACTCCACTCCCCATCCGGGCTCCCCTCTGTGTTTCCTTCTCTCCTGGATGCACACTGCAGCAACGTGGCAAACAACAGCCTCACGGGAGTGTTTCCGTTCAACTTGACCACCCAGTTCATCCAAGTCGTGTAAGTGCCACAGGGCCACCGGGGCACAGCGCAGGGGCACAAGGGGGAGGACACAGGGGGAACAGGGGGCGCAGGGGCACAAGGGGGAGGACACAGGGGGAACAGGGGGCGCAGGGGCACAAGGGGGAACAGGGGGCGCAGGGGCACAAGGGGGAGGGCACAGGGGGAACAGGGGGCGCAGGGGCACAAGGGGGAGGACACAGGGGGAACAGGGGGCGCAGGGGCACAAGGGGGAGGGCACAGGGGGAACAGGGGGCGCAGGGGCACAAGGGGGAGGACACAGGGGGAACAGGGGGCGCAGGGGCACAAGGGGGAGGACACAGGGGGAACAGGGGGCGCAGGGGCACAAGGGGGCACCGGGGCAGCACAGGGGGCACAGAGGGGGCACAGTCCCCTGTCCCGGGGCGCAGCCGCCAAATCCCTCTCTTTTCCTTGCTCCCCTCCTTCTCCCTCCTTTTTATTTCCCTTATTTCGCCCATCTCTCCTCCCGCCCGTCCCCTTCTCTCTCTTCCCCCAGTGCCACGGGCAACGACCTCTGCTCCCCCCAGGGCCTTTACGATCTCCCCAACTGCCGAGCCCACTTGCCCTGATTCTTTCTTTTCCCCTTACCCGCTCCTATCTTCCTCCCTGTTCCCCTCCTCCCCCAGTGCCACGGGCAACGATCTCTGCTCCCCCCAGGGCCTCTACGATCTCCCCAACTGCAGATGCCACGTGCCATTTGCCACTCTCGTGCAGATTGTTAAGCTCTTTTCTTCCGCTTCTCTCCTTCCCCCCGCTTCCCCCTTCCCCCAGTGCCACGGGCAACGACCTCTGCTCCCCGCAGGGCCTCTACGATCTCCCCAACTGCGGAGCCCTGCCCCCTCCGCCCCCCCCTCCGTCCTCTCCCCCCGCCCCCCTGCCCGCACCTTCCCCCATCTCCCCCGCACCCCCTTCCGAGCCGTCCGTTCCCCCCTCTCCCACGGCTGACTCGAGTGCTACTGGGAGAAACGTGCTGGTAGGATCTGTGGTGGGATCTCTAGTAGTTGCTGCTATTGCTTCGGCGCTGGTGGTGTGGATGTATTTTAGAGGGGCCAGGAAGGACAGGGAGAAGGGGGAGAGGGGGGAGAAGGAGGAGGGAGAGAAGCGGGGTGAAGTGGCAGCAGCAGGAGGGGGAGGCGGAGGAGAGGGCGGGGATGGGGACGAGGGATCGGGGAAAAGAAGTGATGGTTATGGTGGGGGGAGTGGAAGAGGAGAGGGTGAGAGCAGAAGGCAGGCTGTTGGTGTGTCACGGAGCAGATCAAGGGAAGACAGAGGGAGTGAGAGAGGGGGTGAGAGTGGGAGGGACGGGGAGCGGTCGAGAGGGAGAGGAGAAGGAGGGGAATTCAGTGATAGGGAGAGAGATTCCATGCCTCTTTCCGGACCTAACTCCAGCTCTACCGAGCCTCTGTTGCCCAATGGGAATGTATCCGAGCGTAAGAGTGATCCCAATGTGGAAGGTTCTGCTCCTGCCATCACTGCTACACATGCAGCCACAGGTGCCGCAGCAGCAGCAGCTACAGCAGCAGCAGCGGAGGCGGCGCACAACGGACAAAAAGCGCCGCCCAACGGGCTGGCGGTGGAGGCGGCGCCGTTCACTGTGCCGTCCACGCACGTACAGCGGATGAGTCTGGCAGAGCTGGAGGAGGCGACGGGGGGGTTCTGTGAGGAGCAGATGATCGGTGCTGGGGGGTTCGGGCCGGTGTATCGTGGCGTGCTGGCGAATGGACGGGTTGTGGCTGTCAAACGGCGAGCGGTGGATTCCATGCAGGGGTCGACAGAGTTCAATAATGAGGTGAGTGAGTGAGAGAGAGTGAGCCTTATGGGGTTTTTTCTCTTGAGGGGTTTCTGAGTCTAGCAGAGCTGGAGGAGGCGACGGGGGGGTTCTGTGAAGAGCAGATGATTGGAGCAGGCGGGTTCAGGCCGGTTTACCGCGGGGTTCTGGCGAATGGGCGGGTGGTGGCGGTGAAGCGACGGGCAGTGGATTCCATGCAGGGATCGACAGAGTTCAATAACGAGGTGAGTGAGAGGCTCATAGCTAGGAGCTACAGAGAGAGGTTCTGAGCAGCAGCTGAAAGGAGCGGGTGGTTTCGGGCCACTGGTCCATTTATATGGTGCTCTGGGCCTCTGTCAGTGGCCCTCTGATCCATTCAAATTTGAGCTGCTCTTTGGGAGCCACGTTCTGAAGTTTCTGAAAAAGTGACTCGCTCGCATATCCCAACTGCTTACCCCCTTTCCGTCCCCTTCCTTCCGCTTCCTTTTTCTCACCAGCTCAAGTTTCTGTCCAAGATCCGGCACCCCCACCTGGTGGCGCTGATAGCCTTCTGTGAGGAGCAGGGGCAGCAGCTGCTGGTGTATGAGTTCATGGCGCAGGGCAACCTGCGTGAGCACTTATACGGTGAGTGGGGATGGTAAAAGATGGAAGGTGATGCTGTAGAGGGTACAAATTTGAGCAGCTGCTGGTGTATGAGTTCATGGCGCAGGGCAACTTGCGAGAGCACTTATATGGTAAGTGGGGATGATGTTATAGAGGGAACAGATTGCAGCAGCTGCTGGTTTATGAGTTCATGGCGCAGGGCAACTTGCGAGAACACTTATATGGTGAGTGGTTCTTCAGCAGTAACAGTTGTGGCTAGAATCATGGCTCAGAATCATGGCTCAGAATCATGGCTCAGAATCATGGCTCAGAATCATGGCTCAGAATCATGGCTCAGAATCATGGCTCAGAATCATGGCTTAGAATCATGGCTCAGAATCATGGCTCAGAATCATGGCTCAGAATCATGGCTCAGAATCATGGCTCAGAATCAAGTGTGCACATCCTTCTTGAATTTTCGTGGCTACGTGTTTCTCTGTTGCTTGCTATACCGCAGTCTTCATTCATCCCTTTCCCACTGCCCCCTACGGCCCCATCTCATCAACCCCTTTCCCTGCTCCGTTCCAATGCGGTGCAGACCGGTTGGGAGCGCCAAGGGGGCGTCTGCGGTGGCTGCAGCGCCTCTCCATTGCTGTTGGTGCTGCCAAAGGTAGGGAGAGGACGAGCTGGGGTAGGGTGAGGGCGAGGTGGGGAAGGGGGAAGTGGGAAAGTGGGAGGAGCTGAGGTCAAGGGGGAAGGTTGGTGCTGCCCAAGGTATCAAGTCAACGAGGGAGGGCAAGCTCTCGAGCATGCCACTGCTCCCACCACAACGGTTGCGCCTTTCACTCCCCTCCTGCCTTACGCTGTTTTTTTGTGCTCTTACCCATTCGGTTCCGTTGTTTCTCCCCTCCTCTGGCTCCCTCCTTCGCATGTTCGCCCTCTCTCCCAGGCATAAAGTACCTGCACGTGGCCCTCCGCCCCTCCATCATCCATCGGGACATCAAGACCACCAACATTCTGCCCGACGACAGCCCCTTACTCCCCTATTCCCCATTCTCCCCTCCCCCCCTCCTCCTTTCCCCCTCTCCTCCCTTCCCTTCCGCATCCCAGGCATAGAGTACCTGCATGTGGCTCTCCGTCCATCCATCATCCATCGGGACATCAAGACCACCAACATTCTCCTCGACGACAGCCTCTGCGCCAAGGTCGCAGACTTTGGGCTCTCTCGCCTGGGGCCGCAGGACAACACGCACGTTTCCACCAATGTGAAGGGCACTGCCGGTTACCTGGACCCAGAGTGAGTATATTGGTATAACAAGGGGATCGGGGGGTTCTGGTGAGTGGAGGGGGCTGACTTTGGTGGGCTGTCCCACCTGGGCCCGCAGGATAACACACATGTCTCCACTAATGTCAAGGGCACAGCCGGTTACCTAGACCCAGAGTGAGTGGCTGTGTGGGGGGTGCTTAGGCAAGGACTGGAGTGGGTAGAAGGACGGACTTTGGGCTGTCCCGCCTGGGGCCGCAGGACAACACGCACGTGTGCAGCAATGTGAAGGGCAGTGCAGTGCAGGGTACCTCGACCCAGAGTGAGTCTGCTGATCAGGCGCGTGGAGGGGTTGCCTGTTATTGCGGCAAGCAAGGTCGCAGACTTTGGGCTGTCCCGCCTGGGCCCCCAGGCCAGGACAACACGCACGTGTCCACCAACGTCAAGGGCACGGCTGGTTACCCTCCTCCCTCCGCCCCCCCCACCAGGTACTACACGGTGCAGCAGCTGACAGATCGCAGTGATGTGTTCAGCTTTGGAGTGGTTCTGCTGGAGCTGGTCAGCGGGCGGACAGGGGACAGGGAGGCAGGAAGACTGGGAAACCGCCTCACTCAAGTCATTCTCTACTCCCGTTCGCCCCCTTCTCCTTCCCCTCCTCTTGCAATCCACACACCAGGTACTACACGGTGCAGCAGCTGACAGACAGGAGTGACGTGTTCAGCTTTGGAGGTGGTCACGTGAGGTGCTGCTGGAGCTGGTCAGCGGGAGAGTGACTACCCATCGACTGTTGGGAACTGGTCGATTGGAGTACGGGAGGCAGAACAGGGATGGGGATCTTGCTGCAGAGAACGCAGCTCACTCCTCACCCCTCCCTCTCACCCCTCCCTCTCCTGATGTCTCCTCACAGGTACTACACGGTGCAGCAACTGACGGATCGCAGTGATGTGTTCAGCTTTGGAGTGGTGCTGCTGGAGCTGGTCAGCGGGCGGCAACCCATCGACCTCAGCCGCCCCCGCGTCGACTGGAACATCATTGACTGGGTGCGTGCGTTGACTAGTGTTGACTGCTCTTGACTGCACTGGATTGTGTACAGTGGATTGCAGTTGGCTGCTTGGACTTGTCTCGTTTGGCTGACTGTTTCCGAATCTGCCCCTCTATTCTTCCTCACCTCCACTTGCCTGCCTCACTCTTGATTGCTTTTGAGGCCCCTCGGAACTAAATCTTCCCCTCTATTCTTTCTCACCTTCACTTGCCTGCCTCCCCTGCAATTGCTTTTCTCCCAACCTTTCCTTCCCCATTCCTCCCCTCACTCACCATCTCCACTCAAGCTCCCCTTCTACCCTCCCCTCTGCCGTGACATCACAGGCACACAAGCATCTGCAGCAGGGGGACATAGAGGCAATAGTCGACCCCACACTGACCCCGTCAGAAGTGGAAGGTGGCCAAAGTGGGCATTCTCTGTGTTGAGCCCCCATCATCCTCCCTCTCACTTCCTCCCTCTGCGTGTTCCCCTATCCCTCTCTGCTGCTGTGACACCCCAGGCGAGGAAGCACCTGCAGCAGGGGGACATAGAGGCAATAGTCGACCCCACGCTCCCCCCTTCGGAATTTCTCATAGACGCCATGTGGAAGGTGGCCGAGGTGGGGATCCTCTGTGTCGAGCCCATGGGTATCAACCGACCGAGTATCAGTGAGGTGGTGCGGGAACTTGGAGAGGCTGTTGCTATGGAGTTATCGAATACTCCTGTAAGGAATCATTTTCACCAGCAGCAGCACCAGCGGCAGCACCAGCAGCACCAGGGGCAGGAGGGGGAGGGGCAACAGGAGTACGATTCTGAGATAGGGGTGGATTATGGGGATGAGAGGGGGGGAGGGAGAGGTGGAGGTGGGGAGGAAGGAGGAAGGGGTGGAGAGCGGTTGGGCGGTCAACGAGGGTACTACAATTCCACGTTGACGTTTTCTCGCTCGGGATCCAACGGTGGAGATTCGTCGAGAGGGGTGGATGGGCGGAGACTTCCGGATGGTGACAGGGGAGGGGAACACGAGGCTCGGGACACCCCTGAGCAGAGGTTTGGGAGAGGGGAGAATCCGAATAGAGTGGTCCCGGCTGAGCTGGCGATGAGCTGGCAAGGAGGAGGGGAGGCGTCAGGGGGGATGAGGGGGGATGGGGATGGGAGTGGGGAAGTGTGGGCGGAGATGGGAGGTGTGAGTGAGAGAGTGAGTGAGAGAGTGAGTGGGGGAGTGAGTAAGGGAGTGAGTGAGAGGGAGAGTGGGAGATTGGGCTGGGGAGGTTCAGGAGAAGGGTTGGCAGGAATCGGTGGGGGCGAGTGGAGTGGGAGCAGTGTGGGGAGGCCCGCGAATGGAGGAGGGGCGGAGGCGGTCGGAGGAGGGGGAGGAGGAGGGGGAGGAGGAGGGGGAGGAGGAGGGAGAAGAAGAGGGGATGGAGGAGGAGGAGAGGGAGGGAGTGCGATGGGGTTCAGAGGTCCCGGGAGTGGAGGAGAGATGTACATAAGGAGAGGGGGGTCGTCAGAAGAGCTCAATTCCCACGGTGGGGTGCAAGGCGGAGGGGTGCAAAGGGGTGGAATGCAAGGGGACGCGGTGCAAGGGGGTGGCCTTATGGCGGTTTCAGATTCGTTGATGAGGAGAAAAAGAGAAGGAGCATCCTATAATGGCCCGATCTCCCGGCCTAACTTGCCTTTGGGTAGTGGAAGAAGAGAGGGGAGAGGGGGCAGTGAGAGGAGAGAGGGGATAAGGGGGATAGGGCAAGGAGGGTTCTCGGGAGAAAGTGTTGAAGCAGATATGATGATGGCACAGGCGCCACACGGGGATTATATGATGCTGAGGAAGGTGCAGCAAGGGGTCATGTCGCCGCCCGTTCCACAGGAGAAGCGGCATTTTTCTGCTGAGGACAAGCCGCGGTTCGCCTCGCCTTTCGGGCAGCCTGGGTTTCAGCCGCGGGCAGGCGGCCGAGATTTCGAGTCTGCCCGAGAGCCTGCGGGGGGGCATGGTGTGCGGGGGAATTCGGAAGGAAAGAGGCGGATGAGTGACGGGGAAGGTGTGGATTTGAGTACAGGCAGAGAGGATGTGCGTATGGTGAGGGGAGATGTTTCTATGAGAGATGACTTGAGGCCAGATTATGAGATGTCTAGGTCTCACGATGAGCCACTGCATGATTCTGGATTCGAGGTGTCTCGACCGCACGATTCGGATTTCGCGCGATCTCGGCCGCACAATCTGGTTACCGCCACCGCATCGTCACTCTCCGCAGTGGAGTTGACTGAAATGTCTTCTGACTCATGGCGGGAAACCCCTTCCCTGCCGTTCTTACTGCCTAGCCAGGGGCAGGAGCAGTTGAGTGGTCGGCTTGATGAGAGGGCAGTGGGGGTTGAACAGACCGAGCAGCGGAAAATGGCTGTTCTTGCTCAATCAGCACCGTCACAGTAGGCTGAATATGTATTTATATTGTTCGTTTCTGTTGCGATGCGAATGTACACTTCTTAAAGCGCCTGGGTGCTTACAGAGTAGTGAGAATAAGAAGTTAGTGGGCTCCTGTTGTTTCATGTGGAAGGCCAACCTGGGTGGGTGTGAAATGCCATCCTAACCATGTAGTCATTCAGGGTATACCCCTGAACATTAGTCTGGTAAGCTGAATCGCATTTAGTGGAGTGCTTGAGTAATTCACATGCATGGAGAAAGAATAAATAACCCGCGAGCGTATTGAGTCTGCAGAAATGAGGTATTTTTACAAGTTAGTACTTGTAGAATTATACAGGTGTTTTTTGGCACACTCGCCGCAAGTTATCTCTCATTACAAAAATCACCGTCGTGTTCGTCGTCCTCCTTATCTGGACTGGACTACCAGCATTCTCTAGGTTGGATGGTCCCACCAAACATCTAGTCAGTTGCCAGACTTCACTTAAGAACGTTTGAGCTGGTACGCAGCGGTTGAAAGCGGTCAATAGAAAAAAAACCATTCTACAGCGCACAACATCGTTCTCCAACGCGTTGACTGAATGTTACGTGGGCAATTGAGTGAACAAACGAGAATTGCACTATCGAAGCAAGAGTACAATGAGCGAAGGCATGAGCGAAGAATATATAGCGAAACTACAGTGGTAACGGTAATGGACTGTGGTTGTCGCGCGACGGGCCTGGGACTGAGGTTGGGAAAAGTGTCGAAGCGGAGGCCCGGAGCGCGGGTTACCCGCCGAGCCGTGAGGTCGGGGTGCGACGTGCGAAAGTGGCGGGCGGATTGTCGATGCGAGGATTGCGAGTGGTAACGGTGCTGACTGTGGTGCTACAGTGATGTACGCGTTGAGCAGGGATGCGAAGTAAGGAAAAGGAATTTTCCTTACACTACCCCCCCTCCTAAGGAGGTCCTCCTTACGAAAGTGCGTGTACATCCCTGAAGTTTCGGCTGCACAGATACTCGGTGAGGACGGGGTGGTTTTCGATTCTGTCCAGGGGAACCCAATTGTCTTCGGTGGGTGTACGGTCCTTCCAGCGGAGTAAGAACTCGATCCTTCGGGCTCCTTGAGGGTCGCGAACTCTGTGACTCAGGATTTTCTCGGGGGTGATGATTGGTTCAGTCGGTGGTCTTGTCATGCTGGCTGGGCGATTGCGTGGCAGTTGGTTCGTGGACGGGACGTAAGGGCGAAGCAGGCTGACGTGGAACGAGGGGCTGACGAACCAGTCAGCAGGGAGGAGGAGGTGGGCGGTGACAGGTGTAATCATCTGGCTTATGCGAAATGGCCCGCAGTATCGGGGGCGGAGTTTCGTGGTGATGGGCAGTCGGAGATTTTGGGTGTCGAGCAAAACTAAGTCGTCGGGCTGGTAAGTGACGGGTCTGCGGTGGCGGTCGGCGTTGCGTTTAGCGATGATGTTAGCTTTTTTAATTGCGTCTGCTGCCCTGGTCCGTGCTGCTTGTAAAATTTTGGCGAACTGTTGCGCGCGTGGAACCGGGTTGTCGGGATTCGGGGTCATGGGTACTGTTGGGTCTTGTCCGTAATTCAGGTAGAACGGTGACTGTTGGGTCGTGGCGGATGGGGCGTTGTTGTATGCGAATTCGATGAGTGGCAGTTGCTGTTCCCACGTGTTTGGGTCGTCGCACGTGGCTCGGATTGCGGAGATAACTGCTGCAACGGGAGCTAGACTACGGGCTAGGCACGTGTGCTCGTGTGATCTCTGCGTTCGTTCACTTAGTCGTTTCCTTGTGTTTACGCTTCTTGCTAGTTCACAGGGAGAATTGGCAAGAGTTTCACTAGGAAAACATGACAACAATGATAGCAACAACATTGGCAGCGTTGACTACATCAGAGCTAGCTAGGCTGCTGGTCGACTTCCAGCGCAGCACGGTCGACCGCGCTCCAGCGCAGCAGCCCTCGCACCGCTCCAGCGTAGCAGAGTAGCGGTTCGCCAACGTTGCAGTCCACGGGGTGCCAACGTTGCAGTCCACGGGGTGCCAACGCTGCAGCAAGTCGGCTGCACAGCGTTGCACTCGCAGGACAACGGTGCACCTGCTTCGCAGGTGCGCGCAGCTGGTCGGTGCGCACTTCCTTGTCACGTGCCCAGCGCAGACGCCTGGCAGATTCCACGCCAGCGACTGCGCCCACCAGCCACGTCGACCTCGGGATACCACCCCCGAGGTCGGCATCGCAGACTCCACCCTGGCGACACTTGCGCACGTCGCCCGGGTATCCCGGTCGACCGGGCAACCACGCCTGGCCGACCAGCGCAGTCCGTAGCCGGCCACGGATGCTCAGAGTCCCCAGTCCGACGTCCAGGCGCCCAGGACGCCTTCCGAACCCCAAGGTCGGCGTCCTCCTGCTCGGCGCCCTCCAGCCAGGCGCCCTTGCTGTGGCCCCCGTGCCCACTGCTGCAGGTCGGCTGCAACCCTCGCACATCCGACCGCAAAGTTGGCTCCGCCCAAGCGAGGACGGGGCCTTACAACGCTCCCGTTGACACTCCCCTGCCGCGTTCACGCTTGGGCCCCTAGCCCACACGGGAGTACAGCTCCGAGAATAGCCCGTCGGCGTGCACCCAACACACAGCACGCCGGTCACCGCACCAGCCATGCAAGAGGGCATGGCACCTACTGCTGCACGTCGTTGTCGCCGTCGCCCACGTCGGCCAAGCGCACCTGGCCGATTGCGACGGAGCACCGGTTGAAGGCCGGATAGTGCAGCGCCTTCGTCAGGAAGTCGACTGGCTGCTCAGCGGTCGGGATGTACTGCAGAGAGAACTTCCCGCGCTTCACCATGTGCTGCAGCCAGGCCTGTCGCCGCTCCATGTGCTTGAGGTTGCCTGTCAACCCCATGCCCTCGGCGACCGTGATGGCCGACTTGTTGTCCACGCGCAGGACAGTCGGCTTCCCGGCGTCCAGCTGCCGGAACTCGGCGAGGAGGAAGCGAAGGCGGCGTCCCTCCTTGCCAGCTTCAGTGGCCGCCACGTACTCCGACTCGGTCGACGACAGGGTCGCACACTTGATGCGCTGGCTCGACCAGGAGACTGCGGCCCCACCGTAGACGAACACGTAGCCACCCGTGCTCGTCCTGTTCTGCTTGTCACCGGCGTCGTCGGCGTCCACGTAGCCGACCAGCTCGAGCGACTCAGGTCCACCGCCGAACGCCAGGGCGGTGTCACGTGTGTTGGCGAGGTAGGCAAGGCAACGGTCGACCTCGCGCCAGTGCTGGTCGCTCCTCACCGTGAGGCCGCTCCCCAGCTTGCTGCAGGCAAAGGCGATGTCCGGCCTTGTCGTCGCCGCCGCGAATAGCAATGAGCCGACCTTCTGCCGGTACTCCTCCTCCTGGCGTTTCTGTGCCTCCTCGTCGTCGAAGGTGAGCTCGGCGTAGGCGTCGACCGAGACCGGCGTCTTCGGGGTGCGCCCGGTCTGCTCCTCGTCAATGAAACGCCTACGCAGCTTGTCGGCGTAGCCCTGCTGGTGCAGCCACAGCTTCCCCGCCGACCTATCGCGCACGATCTCCAGCCCGAGGTACTTCTGCACCGGCGAGATCTCGCGCAGCTCGAAGGCGGCTTCCAGCAACTCCTTCAGCTCTGTCAGCATCGCGGCGCTGCTGCTGGCGGCAAGTAGGTCGTCGACGTAGACCAGCACCCAGCAGGCCACTCCGTCCTTGCCGACCTTGAAGTAAAGAGCCTCGTCGACCTGGCTCTTCTTCCACCCGGCGCCGACCAGCACATCGTTGAGCGCCAAGTACCACAGCAGCGGAGACTGCTTCAGCCCATAGAGGCTCTTCAGCAACCTGCACACCCGACCGGATCCATCGTTGAAGTAGTCCGGCTGGTGCATGTACAGCACCCGGTCGAGCTTGCTCTGCAGGAAGGCGTTCTTCATGTCAAGCTGCATCAGGTTGAGGTTGAGGACGGCGACGATGCTGAGGAAGATCCTCAGCGTGACGTAGCTGCCCACCGGCGCGAACGTCTCGTCGTAGTCGGCGCCGTACACCTGCGTGAAGCCCTTCACGACCAGCCTCGCCTTCTCTCGCTCGACGGTGTCGTCGATGTGGTACTTCGTCGTCAACACCCACCGGTTCTTCATGATGTTCACTCCCGGCGGGCGTTCGACCAGCTCCCACGTTCCCATGTGGAGGAGGCTGCGAATCTCCTCCTCCATGGCGGCCTTCACCGCCGGGCCCTTCCAGCTTGCCAACGCCTCCTTTACCGTCATCGTCGAGATGTCCCAACGGTGCTCGGGGTCGGCTAGCATGTCGGGGTCGAGCTCCGGAAACTCTTCATCCTCCTCGACATCGTCGTACAGCAGGTCATCATCGTCGACGTCGTACACCGTGGTGAAGGCAGCGGGGACGAAGAAGTCAGGCGGCCTCCGAAGTCGGCCTGAACGCCGTGGTCCTGGCTGGACCTCCTCGGCGTCCCCTCCATCGTCGCCATCGTCGCTGCCCTTGGCATCCTGCTGCTCCTCAGCCGGCGTCCCGGCCGACTTCTCCCCTGTGGTCGGCGTCCAAGCCGACTTCTCCCCTGTGGTCGGCTCCCCTGCCGGTGACCCGGTCACCGAATGCTCCTTGGTCGGTGTCGCTGCTGCCTGCTCCCCTGTCAGATGCTGTTCTGCAGGCGCCTCCTTTACCGGTTTCACCAAAGGCGTCTGCACCACCTGCTGCCTCCCAGTCGGCGTCAGCTTCGCTCCCACAGCGACTTGCACAGCATCACGTCGGCCATCGGCGATGCTTGGGGCCGGCGCCATAGGTGACACCCCACGTCTCCCCTCATCACCGAAGGCCGACATTGGGGTCAGCCCATGCAAGTCGGCGTCCAGAGGAGGGGCAGGTGAAGGGTAGGGACCGGGGACGTCCTCGGCGTCCTCACCAGCAAGCGCACGGACCTCGGCGAGCAGAGGCACCGACGCCGTTGAGGTGTCCGTTGGCGGGTGAATTGGCATCCGCCCTGACACCGGCCCGTGCGCCGACTTCCAC